ACCACAGTGTGTCTGGGACCCCAGTTCCAGCCCCACACCATCTGCCTCTTTACCTCTGAGCTAGAAACGTCGCCAGGGAGCTTCCTGTGATGGGAAGCGTCACAGATGCTGGAGGAGCAGACCCCTCCCTCTCCTTGTTCTCCTCGCCCCTCCCATCCTGCAAGCTTCCAATACCCCATGCCTCGGCCCCCTGCCCCCCCTAACCAGGCCGACAGGGTTCCCAAGAGCACCAAGCTCTCTGGCCAAACGGGGCGTGCCAGCCAGTGCCCACTGTGGGAGGAAGGGGAGCTACTGAATTTTCTGCCAGTCTGCTCCAGCCCCCCAGACTCCTTTGAGGGGCATGGTCTGGGTGGGTGGCCAGAAGAGGGGCCAGGGCATCGAGACCGAGACTGAGGTCCGGTCAGTGAGGACGGGTTCCAGGGGGTCCCTTTCTGACACCCACTCTCGCCCTCCCGTCTCCTCTCTTCCCCTTCCCTTCTGTCCCGGTTTTGGTGCCTTCGTCCCTCTGGGCTCAATGTGGGGACTTGAGGCAGCGAAGTGGTTTATCTGTGTTTATGGGGACACCAGGAGCTCGGCCCCCCAGCTCCCCCCACCCCATGGAAGCAGAGCCAGCCCCCGGGGCTGGTCCGAGTTAAAAATAAGAGTCAAGAGGTGGAGCAAGAAGCAGGCAGAGAGGGGGAGAAGAGGGTGACTGACAGACTGATCTGCAGAGTCATGGAGACACCACCAGGGCCTTGTCCCTTCCTACTGCACGACGTCCTCAAGTCTCTGCTCCTCAGCCTTGTCCCTGGAGCTGGGGTGCTGACGGCCCTGCTGCTGAGTGTCCAGGGAGCCTGCCAGGCTATGTGGGCCCAGGGATGTCCCTGTAACCCCTCTGCCTCTTGCTTGTCTTTCACAGCCCACCCCTCAGAGTTCCCAGGGCTCCCCTGTTAGGTGCACACTCCCCCCGCCCCCAGCTCCCTCTGTATTGAGATGAGGACTGTCCCCAGACCCAGCGCCCTGTCCCCGCCTGACTGATGTCAGGGGCTGTGTGCTGAGGAGGGGGATGAATGAGTGACAAAGGACAGACCAAGAGACCTGAGGGCCCAAGGTGGACAGCAGCCTCGTCTCAGCTCCACAGGGAGAGGGACAAAGATTGCTCTAGAGCGGTGGGG